TGCTGCTGCGCTGCTAGTGCTGGTGCTGCCACTGCTACTGCTGCTGCTGCTGCTGCCGCTGCTGCTGCTGCTGCTGCTGCTAGTGAGTGTAAGAGATACACAGGGTCAGAGGGAGAGCTGCTGAGACAGCCATCTGCTGCTGCTGAGCGTCGCCCCTTTAAGGGTCTTATGGGGGCCCCCAGGCCTGTGCATCCCCGGCAGCAGCAGCGGTCTTCGCTGCTGCTGCTGCTGCTGCACCCCCTGCTGCTGCTGCTGCTGCTGCTGCTGCTGCTGCCTGTCTCCGCCTTAGACGAAGAAACTCGAAGGAGACTGCAGCGCAGCAGAGCCACCAACGTACTGTGGACAGACACTGTAGTTGCTGCTGCTGAATGGAGACGTTATGATTTCCCTATATATGTAGAGGGTCCTGGTGTGTTGCTGGGGCCCCCTCAGGGGCCCCCTGGGGGGCCCCCTGGGGGGGCCCCCGAAGGTTCTGCTGCTGCGCTGCTGCAGCAGCAAGTGTTCGTTGCTGTGCGTGGCCTCGACGGCAGCGGCTTTTGGTATAAACTAACGAGCCCGTGTGGGGTGGAGGAGACGATCCCCGGGCGGGGGGAGACGATCCCAGTGCAGGAGGAGACAGTCTCCTTGCTCGTAACAACGAGTTTCTCTATAACAGACGGAACAGAAAGAAAAGTATGGAGGGCCCGCATACTACCGCCAGAGGAGACAGATCCATATAAAAAAGAGAGACAGATGGGGGCCCTTGGCTTCGCTGTGCTGCAGCAGCAGAGACGCACCTTCATGCAGCTCTTATACTTAGATAATCTCTTCCCCCACAGACGAACACCCTTCAGGGACAGTCCTCCTGCTGCTGCTGCTGCTGCTGCTGCTGCTGCTGCTCCCGCTGCTGCTGCTGCTGCTGCTGATGTTTCTGCTGCTGCGGATGTTTCTGCTGCGGAGGCCTCTCCAGAGAGCTTGCAGCGACCGCTGCAGCGACAGCAGCAGCAGCAGCAGCAGCAGGATAATGCATCTGCCGCAGCAGCAGCAGCAGCAGGAGCAGCAGCAGCAGCAGGAGCAGCAGGAGGAGGAGGTGTATGCGAGCGTTTTTCCCCTTTTGGTGGTATGGCATCACGAAGTGTCTCCTTTTCTGTTTCTTCTCTGCTGCAGTTTCCGGGGTCTCCTTTTTTGTTTGTATTGGATTTGTTTCCGCGAGAGATAACCCAGCTAAAGGGACAGATGCTAGCAGCAGGGCGAGCCCGTGTCTCCCCCACCAGTCCCCTTGTTGTTGTTATGCTGCCCCCCAGTAGGTTTATAAAGCCCCCTCAGGTGTATGTACAGCTCAGAGCCAACGGGGCCCCAGCTTTTGGTTTTATACGTCTCCTAGAAATAACAAAAAAAAACTTTGCGGTGTACATACACCCCACACACTGCGGGCCCCAAGAAACTATCACAACTAACCCCTTCGATGAACTCGACTGGATGGCCTGGCAGTCTATCTTCTAAACATGCAGCAGCAGCAGCAGCAGCAGCAGCAGCAGCAACAGCAGCAGCAGCTGCTGCAGCAGGAACAGCAACTGCAACAGCAGCTGCAGCGACAGCAACTGCAGCAGCTGCAGCGGCAGCAACTGCAGCAGCAAAAGCAACTGCAGCAGCTGCAGCGACGGCAACTGCAGCAGCGACAACAACTGCAGCAGCAGCAGCAACTGCAGCAGCAACAGCAACTGCAGCAGCAGGAACAGCAACGACAGCAGCAGCAATACTGCTCGCAGCAGCGTTTATACAAACAGCTAAAGACTTACCCTTATTGGTGCAGCAGCAGCAGCAGCAACATGGACACCAGAAGCAGCACAAGTAACACCTGCAGCAGCAGCTGCTGCTGCAACTGCAGCAAAAGCTGAACCACCTGCTGCAGCAGCAGATAAAGGCACTCCTCAGCTCCTGCCCGCAGCAGCAACTGCAGCAGCAACTACCACGTTGCTGCAGCAGCAACTAGCACGGTGCTGCAGCAGCAACCAGAACGCTGCTGCAGCAGCAACCAGAACGCTGCTGCTGCAGCAACCAGCACCGTGCTGCAGCAGCAATTAGCCCCGTGCTGCAGCAGCAGTTGCTGCTGCCGCAGCAGCAGCAGTAAACACTGTGCTGCAGCAGCAACTAGAACGGTGCTGCAGCAGCAGCAGATGTTTAGTGGGATATATTTAGAGTAGAGAAACGCCGCAGACAAACTTTGTGTATTTTTATTTATTAAAAGTGCAGTGAAGACACTGAAAGCTGTTGGGGGGCATCAGCAGCAGCAGGAGACAGCAGAAAGGTGTCTCCACTGTCTCCTCTGCCTCTGCTCCTTGTCTCTGTCTCTGTCTCTGTCTCTTTCTCTGTCTCTTTCTCTGTCTCTATCTCTGTCTCTTTCTCTGTCTCCTTCTCTGTCTCCTCTGTCTCTGTCTCTTTCTGTGTCTCCTCTTTCTCTCTGTGTGTCTCTCTGCTGTCTCTGTTTGTTTGTCTACTTCAATATTTTTGTCTCCTTTATAAGAAAATATTTTTGTCTCCTTTTTGTTTTTGGTTGTGGCTGGGTGCCACGGAGACACATTCGCTGTCTCTATCCCTCTGCAGCCCCTGTCTCCTTTTATACCGTCTGCTGTTGCTGCTGTTGCTGCTGCTGCTGCTGTTACTGCTGCTGCTGCTGCTGCTATTGCTTCTACTGCTGCTGCTACTGCTTTTGTTGCTACTGTTTCTGTTGCTGCGGTGTTTTGTTTCACTAAGGGGCTTTAATTGTGTGCTGCGGCAACAGCAGCAGCAGCAGCAGCAGAAGTAGCAGCAGTAGCAGCAGCAACAGGAGAGCGACAGCAGAGGAGACAGGCAGCAGCAAAGAAAGCAAAGATGAGACAGACACCTGCAGCAGCAGCAGCAGCAGCAGCAGCTAGCTCGTGCTCTGCTGCTGCAGCTTCCCCCTAAAGGCCACGTGGCCGTTGCGCCGCGAGGGCCGTGTCAGGGCCCATCGAGTGATACAGTCATACAGAAACCTGCAGCAGCAGCAGCAACAGCAGCAGCAGCAGCAGCAGCAGCAAGCAGTAGCAGTAAAGGCAGCAGTGCGAGCAGCAGTAGCAGCAGCGGCAAAAGCAGAAGCAACAGTAGCAGCAACAGCAGTAGCAGCAGCAGGAGTAGCAGCGACAACAGCAGCAGCAGCAGCAGTAGCAGCAGCAGCAGTAGCAGCAGCAGTAGCAGCAGCAGTAGCAGCAGCAGCAGTAGCAGCAGCAGCAGTAGCAGCAGCAGCAGCAGCAGCAGCAGATATAAATATATTTTGCATATAAAGTGTCTCCATAAGTGTTTGCTTTAATATGTCCTGTAGGAGTTCTGTCTCTGTCTCTATCTCCCTTTCTGTCTCTGTCTCCTTTTCTGTCTCTGTCTCCTTTTCTCTATGTGTCTCCTTTTGTGTCTCCTTTTGTGGCTGGTGTGTGGGGTGAGGGGTGGGGTTGTTGTTATGGTGGCTGACTTGGGTGTAACGAGAGAGGCGTGCTTCTGGCCGTGTGTTGCAGCAACGATGTCTTCGTCTCTGTTCGATAAACGTCTGCAGGAGACAGGAGACAGAGACAGGAGACAGATATATATATAAGAGGAGACAGAGAGAGGAGAAAGGAGACAGAGACAGGAGACAGAAGGAGACAGCAGAGAGAGAGAGAAAGGAGACAGATACAGGAGACAGAGATATATAAAAGAGGAGACAGAAGGAGACAGGAGACAGAGACAGGAGACAGAGACAGGAGACAGAGACAGGAGACAGAGAGACATATAGGAGGAGACAGAAGGAGACAGCAGAAAGAGAAAGGAGACAGAGACGGGAGACAAAGGAGACAAAAGGAGACAAAAGGGGAGACAAAAGAGGAGATAAAAGGAGACCGCAAAGGAGACAAAAAAGGAGACAAAAGGGGAGACAAAAGGAGACAAAAAGGAGACAAAAACGTAGGCAAAAGGAGACAAAGGGAGACGAAGAGGAGACAAAAAAGGAGACAAAAAATGAGACAAAAAGCGACAAGAAAAGGAGACAAAAGGAGACAAGAGAAGGAGACAAAAGGAGACAAAAAGGAGACAAAAAAGGAGACAGAAGGAAACAAAAAAGGAGGAAAAAAAGGAGACAAAAAGGAGACAGAAGGAGACCGCAAAGGAGACAAAAGGAGACAAAAAAGGAGGAAAAAAAGGAGACAAAAAGGAGACAAAAGGAGACAGTATGTGGGTGCTAACTTTTTGAGTTGCTGCGCCTCTGGCAGCAGCTCATCGCAGATGACCACATAATCTGCGTTGTCTCCTCGCGGCAGCAGCGACCCGTTGCCAACCCTCACCAGCATCCTGCATGCACGCAGCAGCAGCAGCAGCAGCAGCAGCAGCAACAGCAGCAGCAGCAGGAGCAGGAGCAGAAGTTGCAACGTATAGAGAAGGGAAACAGAGGCAGCAGCAACGGGTATACTGCTGCAGTAAAAGATGCAGCAGGAACACAAGCAGCAGCAGCATCAAACGCAGCAACAGCAACAGCAACAGCGGCAGCAGCAACAACAGCAACCGCAGAAACAGCAGCAACTGCAGCAACAGCAGCGACCGCACGAACAGCAGAAACAACAGCAACAACAACAGCAGCAGCAACAGCAGCAGAAACAATAACAGCAACCGCAGCAACAGCAGTAGCAACAGCAGCAGCAGCAGCAACAACCGCAGCAACAGCAGCAACAACAGCAGCAGCAGCAGCAGCAGCAGCAGCAGCAGCAGCAGGGGCTCACCGGATGAGGTCCGCTTCCTTGGACTGCCCGCATACATAAAACTCGTGCCCAGCAAAGAGCCGAGCCTCAGCCAGCTCCTGCCGCATCACAAGCGAAGGAATACCTCCTGCTGTATACTCTTGCCTGCAGCAGCAGCAGCAGCAGCAGCAGCAGCAGCAGCAGCAGCAGCAGGAGTAGCAGCAGCAGCAGCAGCAGNGCAGCAGCAGCAGCAGCAGCAGCAGCAGCAGCAGCAGCAGCAGCAGGAGTAGCAGCAGCAGCAGCAGCAGCAGCAGATTCAGATCGTGGCTTCGTAGAATCATTGCAGCAGCAGCAGAAGCTGCAGCATACTCTGCAGGCAGCAGCAGCAATGTTCTTATGGCAGCTACTATACACTGCAGCAGCAACAGCAGTAGCAGCAACAGCAGTAGCAGCAACAGCAGTAGCAGCAACAGCAGTTGCAGCAACAGCAACAACAACAGCACCAGCAGCAGCAACACCGGAAACAACACCACCACCAGCAGCAGCAACAGAAACAACAGCACCACCAGCAGCAGCAACAGAAACAACAGCACCACCAGCAGCGGCAACAGAAACAACATCACCAGCAGCAACAGCAGCAGCAGCAGCAACAGCAGCAGCAGCAGCAGCAGCAGCAGCAGCTGACTCTTCTAGGACTTTGTTAAGTTTTGCTTCCATGGTAGTGTGGGGTTCAGGCCAGACACGGAAGGTCCGCAGAATAAAGTCCACTGCCGCCTCCTTCACTATAAACACCTCAGCTAGCAACGCACACAAAAACTGCAGCAGCAGCAGCAGCAGCAGCAGCAGCAGCAGCAGCAGCAGAGGAGGAGGAGGAGGAGGAGGTGGTGCAGGAGTAGCAGCAATAGGAAAACAGCAGCAGCAGAAGCGGCAGCAGGAACAGCAGCAGCAGCAGCAGCAGCAGCAAGAGGAAAGGATGTCGAGATTTGGGGTTTAGGGTTTAGGGTTTAGGGTTTAGGTCAGCAGCAATGGAGTCTCTGTCTCTGTGTGTGTGTCTCATTTTGTCTTTGTCTTTATGTCTCTGTCTCTATCTTTCTGTCTCTTTCTCTCTTTTTCTGTCTCTGTCCGTGCATCTGTCTATAGCTGTATATATATGTATATATGTATACATATATATATATATATATATATATATATAACTCTCGCTCTCTCTCTCTATATCTCTATATACATATATATATATATATATATATATATATA